AATGTGCTGCTTGTGTTACTTGTGGGTCTATACGGAGCTTTATATCTCCCTTCTGCAAGTCCCCCCCCCCCCCCCGGAGCTATCTTCCAGGACTCAGTCTCAATGGGGCTGGGTTCCTCCAGTCACCAAATCAGTCATACACACAAACGCACACAGATTAATGTGACACGCCTGACCCGGCCGGGTTGATCAGCATGGACAGGCTGACACCCTCGTATGCTAAGAATCAGTTCATCGGAGCAACAATAAACTGCAGTCAGACAAGCACACAGGTAAACAGAATCCCTCTGAATCTGGCTGGGTGTCCAGCTGACACCCTCATGGGCCAGCATTCAGTTCGTTAGGGCATGTCTGAGTCAAACTGGGTCAGTCAGCCTGTACAAGCTGATCCCCTTATGTGTTTCAAACTTAGCACATCCCAATCTTTAGCCTCTTGATGAGCAAACCCCACGGTATTTTTGGGCTTCACAGGGATCTTTAGCTTAGGTAAAAGAAGCATTGCTGCAGAGCACATGAGGAAGGGGAAGTAGAGAAGGAAAAATGTATCCAGTTACTACCAGTTTGACTATAAAAGTTATTTATCGCTAAGTATATGAAATATATATAATGGTACTAGTAGTAATAGACATGCAAAGGAAAAATAAACACAAACAATTGCAATACTACCCTGATTTCACTAAGTATTTGGGGAAACTTAGCTCAAGCTTAACTAATACAGTTCAGGTTCAGAAATTTATGCCTAGAGAGTAAAGAGAGAGAGAGAGAGAGAGAGCGCTGGGATCTCACCAGTCCAAGGTACTCGGGTTGCAAAGCTGACAAAGTTTGTAGCACAATCCTTGAAGGGAGACGATCTGTTCTTCCAGTGTCCCAAGGACAACAGGGGATGGTGTCAGCACATGATTTTTCTTCTTGAACCACACACACTGCTGCTTTTTTACAGATTTTTATACCCTCAGTTCAGCTGCTTTGAAGCATTCTCAATAGTGTAAATCATTGTCTTTTCTGTTGACAAGGGGTTATCTGGTTTGGAACATCTCAAGAAACTGATTGATAATCAGGAAATACGTAAGGTTAGGGAGTAACCAGATACTTGGGAGCCAGCTTGAAATTCCTATGGATAGCAGATATACTGATGGGATATCTCATGGTTTCTTCAGAAACAATAGATAGCTTGCAGCATTAGGATTTTGGATTTTTACTTGTTGTGAACAAGCCTCAGCTTAGCATGACTTTTCCAGATCTTACTATAGTCTTTTAACAGACTTAAGGCAATTATTAGGGTGTTTATAACCTTTGAGCAGGAGGACTTCCACCAGTCGTCCCGGGAAAAGTATGACAACACCTGTAGTCAGGGCTCCAGTGGGCTGGACTCTGTGATGAACCCCTTTACCATTGTTCAGATGTTGCCCACACCCGCTCTGACTCGGTCTCTTGCCTCAGCATTCCCTAACCCGGCAACTGAGTTTTAGTCAATCAAGTTTAAATAGGCCTCCCATAGTGGGACCGGGGAATGTACGGCCTGAGATGCCTATTAAACTTAGAGGTGTGTGTGTGTGTGTCGGGGGGGAGTCCTTTGTAAATCCAAATTAGAACTGGTCTGATAAATGCTGAGCTGGGTGTGTGTGAACATGGGTTGATTAGCATTTAGAGCACAGATTCCCCATCATGCAGTGCTCCCCTGCTTCTCTGACCCCAGAATTCACTGCAGTCTCTGCTTCAGGCTTTCTGTTCTCCATCTTCCATGTAAATGAATGGTCATCTGGTTCCGTCTTGGATGCAAATGAGACCTAGGGCAGTTGTTTCACTCTTGTCACCCTTATCTGGAGGGTCTTAGGTGTGTCTCTCACTGCATCTTAATCAGTTTCGTTTAGGTAGAGGAGGGGAGGGAGGGGGAATTAATTATGAGTCAGACAGACTGTATCCTGTGCCAGGGTTCCCAAGAACACAGAGCTGAGACATAACACCGCCTGGAACTGGGGACCAGAGCAGAATGTTCTGCTGCACCAGGCGGGCGTCAGTGTTAGCTGTGGACACTGCCGGCAGGTCTATGTTGGGGCTCTGGAACCTGCTGGCTGTACCCACG